GAGCAGCACAGGCACAGTCCCTCAGCACGCAGTACAGAAATGCTCAGGAGTGTATTTTGGGAGATGCTGAACACAAAGTTCTTGACTGCTGAAAGCGTTTCTAACGTCCTAAAGTCTCTGACAACCAGCACTGTAAACGATACCGTGCAGATTTAGCTTTATGTTGATTTTCTTTTTTTAAACTTCAGTATCATTATAGCTGATATATTTTGCAATTTGATAAACTGACTTTGAATAAGTTCTCATATACAGAAAGTGAAGTGAACATGAAATCTGCTGAGGTTCTACCCTCTCAGTAATACAGAATAAAAAAGAAATCTCACAATTGACTGCTGGAAAAAGTATTTGCCTGTACAATCACTATCTTTGAGTTTCAGACAGCCATCTGTCATCACCCTCAGAAGCATCTGGGGTCTGAAAGTTCCAGAGTTTCCCCCAGGGGCAGCTAACTGCCCACGACCACGTTCAGATGACTTACAGCCATCTCCAAGGACAGAGAGTCCACAGCTTCCTGCCAACCCGCACTGGTGCTCATGCATTCCATCTAGGGGAGCTTCCCAAAGCTCAAAGGGAACCTCTGGTCAGATGTGGGCCTCCTCCATGAGCAAACTGGAGAGCTGGTCATGAGGGATATGGAGAAGGTTGAGGCGAGGCTAAAAATGACTTCTTTGCTTCAGTCTTCACTGGCAACAGCTCCAGCCACACTGCCCAAATGGCAGAAAGTAAAGGTAAGAACTGGGAGAAGGAAGATCTGCCCACTGGAAGTGAAGATCAGGTTTGAGACCACCTAACAAAGGTGCACAAATCGGGTGAGATCTATCCCTGGGTTCTGGGAAACGGCAGATGAAGGTGTCAAGCTGCTATCCAGCATATCTGAAAGGTAACCACAGTCTGGCGAAGTTCCCACTGGCTGAAAAAGGGGACACAAAGCCCCCATTGTCAAGAAGGGAAAAAAGATCCAGGGAACTACAGACTGTTCAGTCTCATCTCTGTGCCTGGCAAGATCACAGGGCAGATCCCCTTAAGGTCCTACTAAGGGGCATGGAAAACAAAGAGGAGGTGATCGGTGGTAAACAGCAAGGCTTCATCAGGGGCAAGTCACACCTGACAAACTTGGTGGCCTTTTATGATGCAGTTACAGCATCAGGGGACAAATGAAGAGAAACTGATGTCATCCGCTGGACGTGTGCAACGGTTTGACACCATCCTCCATGACACCCTGGTCACCAAATTGGAAGAAAGTGGATCTGATGGATGGACCACTCACTGCGTAAGAAATGGGCTCAGTGGTCACACTCAGAGAATTGTGTCAACAGCTTGATGTCCAAGCAGGGACCAGTTATGAGTGGTGCTCCTCAGGGACCGCGGCTGGGACCAGTGCTATTTAACAAGTAAGCAACATGAATAGCAAGTTTGGAGAAGACTCCAAGCTGAGCAGTGCAGCTGACATGCTAGAGGGAAGGGATGCTGCAAGAGGAACCTGCACAGGCTGGAGAGGTGGACTCATAACAGCCTCATGAAGTTCAACGAGGATAAGTGCAAGGTTCTGCACGTGGGTCAGGGCAATGCCAAGCACAGATACAGGATGGGCAGAGAATGGCTTGAGAGCAGCCCTGGGGAGAAGGATTTGGGAGTGCCAACTGATGCAAGATTAAACATGAGCTGGCAACACGCTTGCAGCCAGAAGGCTGCAACAAGAGAGATGTGACCTGCAGGTCCAGGGAATGATTCTGCACCTCTAGTCTGTCCTTCTGAGACCCCACCTGGAGTGCTGCATCCAGGTCTGGGGCCCCCAGCACAAGGACAGGGAGCTGTTGAGCAAGTCCAGAGGAGGGCCACAAAACAGAGGGCTGGAGCACCTCCCCTACAAGGACAGAGGGAGAGAGAGCTGGGACTCTTCAATTTGGATAAGGCTCTGTGGGACCCTTATAGTGGCCTTCCAGTACCTGAAGGGGGCCTACAAGAAAGCTGGGAAGGGACTTTTATAAGGGCAGGTAGAGACAGGATGAGGGGAAATGGCTTTAAACTGGAACAGGTTAGATTTAGACTAGATATTAGGAAGAAATTCTTTACTGTGAGGGTGGTGAGACACTGAAACAGGTTGTCCAGTGAGGCTGTGGATGCCCCCACCATGGAAGCATTCAAGGCCAGGCTGGATGGGGCTGTGAGCAAGCTGGGCTAGAGGGAGGTGACCCTGCCTATGGCAGCAGGGTGAAACTAGGTGATCTGAAAGGTCTGTTTCAGCCCAGAAGGCTCTCTGATTTAAGCTGAATTCTTTAAGTGAGTGAGGCTGAAGTTACTCACTAGGTAGGGTCTTCAATGCACCAAATGTAAACTCCATGGCTCCTCTGCTGAACACACAGAAACACAAAGAAAGAGAGCAAGTTGCCCAATCTTTACTGAAGAAATACTTCAGTTTACCACTCAACTCGCACACTACAAGCTCAAGATAAAGTAGGGTTCTCCCAAATATGCCTAAAAACAATTAAAAGCGGGTGAAGACACTTTATTCTCCTGCTACAGATTACAGATTCTTGTTTATTGAGGTAGTGATAGCACTTCTAGGTTTATGCATTCTGCTTAAGCTTTGGAATCAAGGTAACCACCAAGGTGTGTTTACAATTAGATCTAGAGACTATTCATTTGACCATATGTACTCTTCAACCAATACCTACTTCGGAATTACTAACAGAGTTATTCGTACTCCTATCTCAGAAGGTCAGTGCTGTTCTCCCCTGCTCTCCAAAATCCATTCTGAAGAAGTGATAAACGTTAGGAAAACATGGATGCTAGTCACCTCCACCGCCATAGTCACAATCACTCCAAGCTACTTACAGGGGCAGAGAAACTTCCTTGGTCACTTAGCAGCCTGAAATTGAGGCTCTGGCAGCCCCAAGCTCAGTCACTAGCTATCTCACCCTGCAAAGAGGGCAGAGGCAGGTTCCCAATTCAGATACACTGGACTGCCCTTTGGAGCAGCCTGCATCTCCTGAGCAAGAGAAGCCCCAATCCCCACCTTTACCACTTATGTTTTCCTAATTAATTAGCACTGTCATGATTTCCCTCAGTATTCCCACCACAAACATGCTATAAGCAATAAGTCACTGCACACCACTTCAACTTCCCCCTCGCAGGGAAGAGCAAAAAGCAGCACCACCAAGAAATCCAGACATGGTAACATAACGTCTCCTCTGTGCAAGCTGCTGGAACATCACCTTCCAGATGCCTCAGAAAGAAGCTACAAATGAAGCTGTTAAATGGAAGAACTGTTTCCAATCTTTCTCAATTTCTGGATCAGTAGAGAAAGCACACCTTCCCCCAGACCCACGGTGCTGCTTCTGATGGGACGCAAGGCATTCGTTACTCAGCATAAAGCTGAGGCCCTGTTATTCACAGGAGTTACCTAACCCAGCAGCTTCTCCTATTAGCAACACATTTGCTCCTCAGTAAGGCTAACCAGGAAGTCAGGGAGCTGACAGCCCTGAAGTCTGTAACAATACAGCTGCAGCCTCACTGAAAACAAGATTTCCACCCTAGCAGGTTGACACTGCCTTCGTAGAATTCATCTGTACTTGATGGAGATAGGAATGCCTCTTCCAACTCCTGCCATGGGTAATTTGGTCTACCTTCTTACAGAAAGCATCTCTTATTCCTGACACCCACCAGCATTTCTTTTGCTGCCTTCATGAATTATCACCAAGTGACCCTGCTAAGACTTCCCTCTGGTTAGATCTGCATGCATTCTGTGCTACACACACGAGAGTTTGCAGAGAGTTCATATGAAAGCACAACAGAGACAACTGGTCAGTAATACATATGCACCTGATCTCAGGAAGCATGCTTTAGAGTGACAGAATGGCCTCGCTGGTCCCACAGCTTAGTCTAACTACACCAGGAGGATGCAGTTTGAAGAGGATCAGAAAAAGGAGTTGAAGGCAGAGGAAGAAAGGAGCTGGAAAAGCATACTGCAACTGGATTCGGTCCCTAAATTAAGTCAAGGTATATTTTGTGATTAAAGCTCTCTGACAGCCATTAATAGTAAGTCTGCTGATGCTCTCAGCTAGCCTCTTAACTTCTCAGCCTACTTCTGTCACGATCCCAGCATACATTCCAGTGTTTACATGCTATTTATCATCCCACAGGATGTATGCTAACTTCAGAATCCCCAAGACAAGTGAAAATAACACATCATGCCACGCTACGTGCTCTGTAGCTGTAGAATTCTAGCCATCACATAGTGATTAAATGCTGTATGTTTAGGACTACCTTAGCACCTCTAACAGTAGCTAGGGCTCTACTGAAGGCATTCATAAAGAAAGCTACAAGCACACAGTCATCTGGCTTTTACTGGCACTATTCCTTCAGCTTTCCAGTTACAGTGAGGACATTCAGCTCTGCACAACAGCAGACTCACTGCCATCACAGACAAGACGTGCTGCTGTCTTTCCACCTCTTCTTCACAAATGCTACATCCTCAGCTGGACAGAGGGTATCAGAATTGTGAGCTCAGTAGAAGGGAAACAGTTAAGATAAGCAAGGAGTCATCTGCTAGAACTAAAAGGTGTGTGAGGGCATGACAAGTGGTGGAGAAGAACTGCATGTTTTTGTCAGCCTTTTTTAACAGGCCGCTGCTGTTTCCTTACGTTTTACTTTGTGTACAGTATCAACACTGGAGCCTTCTTTTGTCATATACATGTTTTCAAGCTCAAATGTCTGTCCTAAAGCAGAGCTTCCTGCACAGAAGTGCCACGACTCAGTACTTGATTCAGTCAGACTTACTGGATCCATGAGCAAAACTACACTAAAATCCCTTCTCCCTATGGCTGAAGGAATTGGATGATCCAGGGCTTGTGAAGAACAGGTTACAAACTACACGCTGGGCCACAAGACTGAAGCTGTGATCACAGAAGCAGTTAACACTGAGAATGCAGTATTGTTTTACATTCTAAACCTAGATGAGTAATTACAGCAGAGTAAAATTAAGTGAGCATTGGAGGTACCTTTTGAAATAGTTAGTGCTGGGGACCACTGTGATCGTAGAATATCAAGACAAATGCTGCCATTACTGTTAATATTTGGATGATAGATTCTTGTTGTAAATGCAACCTGCAGAAGAAGGAAAATTTCAGTGTAGGCTCACAAATGTACATTACAGCACATGGTAAGCTACTGCACAGGACACTCACCTTAGGTGGTTTGAAGGGATAATCTGTTGGGAAGTGAATTGTCAAGAAAAATACTCCACCTTGATAGGGACTGTCGTTCTGTTAAGGAAAAGGAAATGTTGCAGTTCAGTTTTTACAAGAAGACTGGTCATAGAAACTATGAACATCCATTCTCTCATACTTACTGGTCCCATTATTGTAGCTTGCCAATGGAACACTGAAAAAGAAAGAGATTTACTTCGGTTTGGAGAAGCTCAAGTAATGAATACTTAACGCCACAAGAAAGCAGTACAGAAGAGTCTATTTTAAAAACAAAACCTTCTGAGAAACTGCGAGGACACCAGCCAAAAAGCTGAACAGAGACAGGGAGATGCACTCTGTATTTCCTGCACATTCGGTCCACGCTTTCAGAAATTGCTGTGGTAGATACCTGTGCTGCACCCTGAAAGAAACCCCAGCACAGCAGAAACACAGAGTTCACTCACTGCTTCGGACCCAACAAGTTTGAGCATTCAATCAGGTAGTTTCCAATGAAAGTCTACCATTACCTGAATCAAGCCCACTTTCCAACAGCTGCACTGCCCTTTCAGAGCGAGTTACAGCAGAGGCACAGAGGAAGTTCATCCCTTTCCTCAACAGGATCTCCTCTGCGTGGCTCCTTCACTGAACAAAGGGTAAACCTGAGCCCTGTGCATTCCACAGGTAAGGAGCTCACCTACAGCCAGCAGCGTCCTGACCCAGCATCTACCTTCAGCCTCCACAGAAGCACGAAAATTCCATTAAAGCACAGAAAGTAACACAAGTCACAAAAGAACCTCAGAATGAGTCTGCTAAACACTTGAGACCAGTGTGCCAGAATGCTTTAGGTTAAATGGAAAAAAAGTCAGTCTCACTCATGTGCATCTGTCCAAGAGAACATCTTAATCTGGTAATACAGAAGGCTTGTGAAGAACGTCTTTATGCTGCAGGACAGAAGGAAAATAATCAGTGCTGTTAGTCTGCAATAAAGTTCCCCCATATGTACTTCAGGGCACTTGCTTTCTCCTAACACCCCAAGTTCACAGCACACTAGTTTAACGAGTTATTTCTCAGGTATTTTGGGAATTTTCCTCTGCCAGGATGTTGGCTGCACCTCACCTTTAGAAGTGGGGAGCAGAACACAAGCTGACCCAGCTGTAGGAGCCAAGTCTTTAAGGCACAGAAGTTGAAGCCATCTGCAGCTGCGCACTTCACGTGCAACCAGTGCCCTCAGCTTCCACCCCGGGCCCAAAGGTGGCTGTGACACAGTAACACTGTGTGCCTACTCTGAGTTGCTTCCAGTCACAGCTGTACAGGCACTACAAGCGAGTGTGAGCTCAGAAAGAATGGAAAAACGAGAGTAGAGACAGCCCTGCCAAGACTGAGTAGAAAAGCAGCTGGTTCAAGCAGCAGCTTCTGTAACAAAGGGTGCTACAGCTGCTGACTGCAGCCAGCAAGGGAAAAGGACATTCAGCCAGGCTCAGGAAATGAAGACAATGCCTCGCTTCCAAACGCGACGTTCGCCCCTTTTAAAAGGTTCAGGCAGCTCCAGAGCAAGTCCACTGCTGGCAGCTGGAGGGGGGAAGGCTGGAACAAGAGGACAAAGAGGTGGCAAAAAGACAGTGAGGAGTGCAGCACTACAGAACACTGAGATTCTCACATGCATCAGTGGATGCTGGTTAAGGCTGACTCCAGCTGTGCTGAATATAGAAAAATACTGGATGTTAACTTGAACACCTCTGCATGCTAGGAAGATCAACTGTGACACCTCATCACAGCCTTAAACCAGGAGAAATCGGTGTTATACTATAATCTGGTAACGTAACCCCAACCCTATTTCCCAAACAGAGAATGGAGCCAAGTGGAGGATGACAAAACCACCTTATCCAGAGAGAAAACGTATCCAGTCCCTGCAGTTGACTAAGCAGAAGCAGCTTTTCCCATTCCAGAGTTAATGTAACACTGCGATGAGCTGCTGACACCAGGAGACAGTTTACATCAGCTGGACGAGGAAGATATCACCCTGAAAGCACAGCATGTTCTGAACCCTGAGAAACATTGTGACAAGGCAAGCAAGCAGGCCTCGAGCACAGCCAGCACTGTCAGAACAGCACCTTCCACTGCTGCCCCTGCTGTTCAGTTACACACCAGAGGGTGAGCTCTCAACAGTGCAAGATTTTCAAGGATCCACCAGCATGGTGACACAAAGACCTGGGTATTACTGCCAAATCAAGAAAGCTTTGAAGCCGCCCTCAACCACTGCTCAGCTCACGTTACCACCTCCTCCAGCACCCTGACTGGCCGTGACATACTTCTGAAACAATAAAGCAGATCATTATGGCACCAGAAAATCCTCAGACTGGCTCTGCACCTTACTGGGTGCCCTCCCACACACCTGCAAGCTCCTTAGAAATACCATTCCTAAAGCAGGAAAGTGGCGGGATGCCTACAAGTACTGCTAAAAGCCCTCAAACCAGGAACAGCTTCCACTTGCCTGAAGGCACTGCTAAACACTAATGCCTCCACAAAAAGAGAAATAACCAGTCTCTTCATTCTTCAAAGTGCTCTTTTTAACCTAGTCTAAGACTCGCGAATTTATGTTTCTATGCACTGCAGAACTTGCCAATAGCTCAAAAGAGATTAACTGCTACAACTGATCAGAATCACTCTCGTAAGAAGAATCCCCAAGCCTATGAGCTCTCAGCACAGATGGAAGCCTCCCTTCTCAACACTCCTTGCTCCTACAAGCTTGGATGCCAGGCTGAGCAGCTGCCTTGTCAGGGATGCTGCTGCACAGCTGGATGCACCCCTGCAACAGCTGAACTGCTCTTGTGCAGCCTCTCTGACATGGCAGAGCCTCTACAGAAGCATCAACACATTGCCTTATCTCCGGCATTTTATGCTTTAAATACTCAGGCATTTCATACACACTCATCTGGATTTTCCCCAGGGCAGGCTGTAAAGTTACAAAGCAAGAGGTGACCTTACAAGTGGTCCTGCCATTGCAGGCACCTTACTGACCTGGACCACCTAAACTGGGACCAAATGCTTAATGCTGATACAAAAAAGAAATTGCACTTTACCAAGAAGTGAGAAATGTTGATGTTAGAAGGCCTGAGCAACTTGTGAAATGACTTTGGTTCAGTTTAAAAGCAAAGGCCTCTCACAATAAAAAAACCCACAACCCAACACCAATGGCTGCAGTAGGGGCCAACAATTAAGCTCTGTTACTCACAGGTGGTCCAGCAGCCTGGGGACCACGATCCAGAACTACAATAAGAAAGATCTATGTGAAGCCTATTAAATCATGCAGTGCATCTTGCCCTGTTCTAGGAGAAAACACACGAGCAAGGTAACAGGAGATCTTAGCACAAAGAAAAGAAATGCAGGGGAAGGCTCTAAGCAATAACAGCCTCCTTTCACACGGCTCTCTGAGCTTCAAAAGGAGCAGAGAAAGATGCCCAGGTCTCCGTACCAGGAGAACTCGGAGCAGCTGGTGCCTGGGCCAACAAGGCAGCCCAGCTGTTCCTTCCCAGCACGCAGCTCCCTTCAGGGACCTGGCAGAGCCAACTGCTTAGAGAGGATTTAAGCACACCAGTACCTTGCAACTGAAGGATCCTCTGCCTGCACTTCATCTCGTAGCTAAGCACCCACATACAAATCCAGTGACAAAGCTGTCACCACAGCAAGACCTGCACATTCAGATTCTGCATACTCAGAAGTCCTGAAGGAGCAGCAGATTGACTTAAGCCCTGCCTGAAGGTCTCAACTCGTTCTTCAGTCCTTATGCTGGCATACCCTATAGAGCAACAGCACAAACAACTGAAAGCAAACAGCTTTTTCAAGTGTTCCTGTAACTTAAAAACCAAAAAATACTTTATAATTCAAGCTTCAATTCACTAATTAGTTTTCCTCCCATTCACATTTTACCTTGCTACCCTCAAAGACTGTGCATTACCTCTTTAGGAAATGCAGTGGCTGCTTTAAGTCCTGTGTAAAATATAGTTAACTGTGACCTCGATGTACCACCACCCAGCATTGGAGCAGACTGCTTTACTTCCACAGCACCACGTGAGCACACTATACATAATTTAGGTACCAAACAAGTTTTGTCAGCTGTAGGAGACTGCACACTGGTTGGGCCAGGGTTGGGCTGCAGCTCAGTGCGCGCTGACTGCACGTGTTGATACGAGAATGCCAGAGCACTGGGGGAGGAAACAGAGCTCCCCATGAAATGGGCACAGATCTCAGGTGATCCACAGGGATGGCATCACAGGTACAAGTGTCAGGCTGGTGTGGGGAACAGTCTCCAGTACAAGTTCTCCTCATGGAGGAACCAGGTGCCCTGTTTTAGAAGGAAAACAGTCCACATGTGCACACTGACAGTGCCATACTTACTGTCATCACCAACAGGCCCTGCTGAACACTGTGCTGGAGGATCACGTGCCAGATCATTCAACTCCTAGGAAAACAAAAAAAACAGGAACAGTTGTTTCATTTAATTTCAACACCACTCACGTTATTACTGTTACAAAAGCTGCTGGTGGCACTCGGGCCATTATTAGTCCTGCTCTTTGTGGGAGCACTGCTCATCAGCTGCACGCATCAGTGAGGTGAGAGCACAGGGATGTACCACCACCAAGCCAACACCCCAGGACACAAAGTCACTCCCGAAATCAATGCCACATATTTGGTGCACACGCAGTTACCCCTCCTGGGTTTCCTGACACTCCGCTCACACAGCCCTCACGAGGTCACAGGGTCTATCAGCTCAACTTCGCCTTCGCTGAGAATAAAGCTCAGAACCTGGACTGCACCCCAGATTTCTCATGCATGGAACCACGGAGCCAGAGCAGCTCCAAGCCAACAACCCGCTGCCAGCCCTCCCCCTCCCTGCCCCACAGCAGCTCCCAGGCACTTTCACTCACTGCAGAACTTTGCTCACCCTGTTGTTTCATCAGGCTACAGGTGGCTGGACAACAAAACACAAGGCTCTGGTAACCAGCTCGAGTGCACAGATACAACGCCACGCTTCTGAAGCAGCTGTAACAGCCAAGCAATCCTCTGACAAGTTCCAAAGCACAGCTGCGTGACGTGAACCAAACCACCCGAACCTCCAGCTCGGAGCAGGCCTTCGGCTGGGCTCAGGGCCCACAGCCACCCACTGCTCACACCTGCAGGCCGCTCAGGAAGCGGGCACTGAACGACACACTCAAATGGAATAAGACCCCAAAACCCAACCATTTGTGTCGTGCCAGGCTCAGACACTGAGCCCAGCCCCTTGTGGACTTGGGCTGAAACAGACACTGAGTGTGCAGCGCCTGCCGAGCGGCTACGGCACACCTGAAGGTGGGCAGCACCTCCAAGCGTCTCCATTAAACAAGAGGGAAGCCCTTCACAGTTGCAAGTAGGTTCAGAGCAGCCAATTTTAGCCCTGCGAGGATTCCCTTCTTCCTCCCTGACTGAAACATGAGCCAGCAAAGAGCTCCATAAAGCACTCGCTCCCTCATCACACTTTACACCACCCACTGCACACCTGTTCTCAGCCCAGAACATTACATACACCAAGCTCCAACCCGAGCTGCAGAACTCTGCTTCATCCCGCAGCAGTGTGTACTGTGACAGCATTCACAGAGAGGTGGCCTCAAACACAGCACCCCTCAGAGCAGTGCCCTGAGCTCTGCTCCAGCCCCAGCAAGCCCAGCAGAGGCTGTGCAGCCAGCTCTGTGCCTCCCCGCTCAGCTGACAGGCACGTGTCCCTCACACAGAGGGCAGCAGCTCTCTATCTATACACATACACACACACACACACACACACACACACACACACTGTAAGTACAGACATAAGAACTTAAAAGTATAAATAAAAATTCAGGAGCATACCTCACTTTTTTAAGAGCCTGTAATAACCGTGTGAAGCACAGTAACTTCCGAATGCTATTGACCCTGATCTCCTGGAGAAGGCAATTTAATGCTACAGTACTCAGAATTCTAAACGCATCCATTAGCAAAAAACACCTAAGCCTCTCCTCTGTACCAGCTGCTAACCTCATCTCCCCCTCTGTGCACACCTACAACGCAGCAAGGCCACCGTGGGGAGGAATACCACTGCAAGAGCACACCTGTGTCATGCTAGACCACAAGCTACCACTGCCTATGTTTCAGAGCCCAGCACACATTCCCTCCACCACAGCCGGGAAACCAAAGGTGCAGCTGGCAGAGCTGCCCTGCAGCAGCACCTCCCCAGCACCCCATGTGGCCCCGCTGCAGGCAGGGCTCACAGCAGCGACACAGCAAAGCTCAGTCAGCAGCAGCACCCCTTCTCATCAGGGCACTGTTTCCTTCTCTTCAATGTGGAGCCCCAGGCAGAAGGGATACTTCAGCTTTTGTATGTGTGCACAGTACCTCACTGCAGAGGTGACTGGGTCACACCACGGGGGTCACTGTGCAGCTCTCCCCGCAGGGAGCATTTCAGGCTCTGCTTTACAAACTCACAAGTTGCAGCACCACTGACTGAAAGGCCCGTGTAAGTGATGCACAGACTCCTTGCACTTACAGAAGTTTTGAAACAACTTCTAAATTAAGCTCCTGCAACGCAAAGCCCCACAGCTGCTGTAGGGCAGCCAAAATAACAGTGGAAAAGCTGGACCTCCACAGGACACCTCTGGAGCACAAGCACTAGCTGCACATGGCACTACCCCTGCAGCCTCAACACTGCAAGGGCCAACTGCAGAACGGTGGGGTTGGGAGGGCCCTAACAGCACCCTATCCTCACCCCTGCCACGGGCTCAGTGCCCCCCAACAGCTCAGGCTGCCCGGGGCCCATCTACAGCCTGGGCACCTCAGCCCCGGGCAGCAGTGCCAGGGTTTGAAACTTCCTCCTCACACCTGAGCTAAGCTCCCCTCTCTCTTAGTCGAGAGCCATCACCACACTTTCTGATACATGAGAGGCGCTCCGGCTCCCCAAGCACCCTGGTGGCGTCTCCCAAGCTCACTCTCTCCCGTGCTGGGCCCCGGAGCTGAATGCTGTGCTGGTCCTCACAAAAGGGGACAGCCCCCTCCTTCACCCCACTGCAGCCCAGGACACAGCTGCCTTCTGGGCTGCCAGCACACGGCCAGCTCACTGCTCTCCACCCACCAGCCCTCCCCACAGGCTGTTCAGGCCATCGGCACTCAGTCTGGGATAGGGAGCAGCCCCCATCCAGGAGCAGCACCTTGCATTTGGCCCAGATCATCTTCAAGAGGGTCACATGAGGCCACCTCCCCAGCCTGCCCGGTTCCCTGGGTGTCACCCACCCCCTCCCTCCAGCATGTCAGCTGCACCACACAGCTTGCTGAGCCTGCACTCGCTCTGCCATCCACGCCACTGCTGCATTAACACAGCACAGGGCCTCCTAGCAGGGCACGGATACCACACTTAACATAGCTTTCTCTTCAAGCTGCCCACGTACTACCCAGACCTCTACCAGTCACTTATCAGACTTGTAGGGCCAAGTTTAAAAACAGGAATGATAGTTACATGCAGCTACACCAGACCACGCACAAACAAAGCATGGTGTCCAGAAGGTTACCTTGCCTTTTAGAAGCTGTTGGTGCAGTTCACAAGGCAGAGCACCCCAGCCTACCCAACACTTAGTTTCCAGATGTTACTGAGGGACAGAAGAAACACCGTCTTAAATCTGAGCTAATTACCCAGGTGCTCATACAAAACTAACTTCTCATACACAGAAGCTTCCACTGCAGTTTGGTGTCACCTACAAAGCTGATGTCGCCAGCTATCAGGCCCCAACCTGCCCTATTCTACCTCCGTGCTCACTGACCAGGTCTTGACAGCATTGCTATCAAACCAGCACCTGGAGGAAGCTGCAGCTGGCTATCAGTTGAGTTTCTGGTGCAGAAAGCTTTGCTGGAGGTTTTTGGCTCCTAGGAGCCTGCCCCCAAGCGCAGTGGGACAGCAAGCTGCAGGGCTGCTCTCTCCTCCACGGCGCCAGGCCCACTGCTGAGGATCGTACCATCACTCAGACCTAACTTAAAAGTTTTAATTACCCCTCAGCAAAAGGAACCGAAGGCACGATGCAAAGCACAGTTCAAGTACCTTGCCCAAAGAGCAAGTCGTACGAAACTACATCTGGGAAGTGGGCATTCCAGTAAAGCTACAAGTCTTGCACAAGAAACAGCCCTGCTGGTGCTCGAGTCCCCCACAGAAAGCACAGCCCCACACGGCGCTCCAGGAAAGCGTTTCAGAAGAGATGCAGCGTGTGACACAGAGAGCCTCACTGCGCCAAGGCCAAGCCGAGCAGCGAGGAGGGGCACAGGGCGAGCCTGCAGCCCTGCTCAGAGCCACCACCTGCCGCCCTGCCCCCACTGTGCCACAACCCAACGGCATCAGGAGCTGAATCGGGGACTCCACGACAGAGCAAGAAGTTCTCACAAACAGGAGCGCTCCAAGTTCAAGCTTCACCTTGCGCACGTTCCAAGCTTTAACTCGTTTATTTGTAAACTCCAGAGGCATTTGTCACAGATGTGCAAGTTCACTTCCCCAGACAACGAGCCCCACGCTGCCCATCTGCTGCGTGGCAGGGCAGCCCTGGCCAGCAGACAAGGCTGCTTTAAGGATTCTGTCCTGACTGCGGCACAACAAGCAGCACCAAGCGGCCAGCAGGGCGAGAGGATGGCTGCTGTCCTGGGGCAGCTCCTCAAACACACTCCAACGCCTCAGACAGGACTCCAGTCAAAGATTACGCAAAGCCGTGGTCCCTCCTCCTCACTCCAGTTTGAGCTGCTTTCAGAAGCTCTAATTGACTCAGAGACCACATCATTAGCTTGATTGTAAGCCTTATTTTCACTTACAGCAGCAGCAACCTGACAGCAAAATAAGCTTTTAATCTGTCTTCGGCAAGAATCTTTGCCTGAAGCCCCCAAATCCCTCAGTGACAGGCAGCCTAGGACCGTGTCATAAAACTGTGATTTAACTCACCAAAAAGGAACTTGGAGCCATTCAACCACCATTTCCTGGCAGCTTTAAATAGATTATTGCCAAGCAATACATAACAGAGCCAATGACCAATAGCACTGCCTGCCAGCAACCTGCACAGGTTCCACATGTGTGGAAGGGGCAGCAAGGCCCCCCAGCCTGCCCCACAGCACAGCTCCTGCACTTACCTGACACAGAAGCCAGCACACAGGGCAGGCTGTGAAGCAACACAGCTCTGGCTCCGCTTGTCAAGGCAGCACTCACAGAAGCTCCAGCATCCAACTGTGGGTTCCAAAGGCACTTTTGGTCTACAAGACTCTGCAACTCCAAAACAGCTCCCATTCTAAGGCTGCTTCTTCCGAACAACAGAAACATTTTGATCTTCAGAAGGGTTTGAATCCTTCTCCTTTCACAAAATCTGCCTTTCTGGAGCACGGAATGGCTTAGATCCACTGGCCTTCTTGACAACACTTGCACATGAGAAGGCAGCATAAGAAAAGCCAAGCTTAATGAAACACAGAGCCTGCCAGGGTACGCGCTACAACGAGCTCTGATGTAAGCATCAGTCACCTTTCATCTTCTTTCAAAGCCTGAACAGCAAGAACACCAAGGCAGCACCTAACTTCCTCTGGGTGCAGGGACCGAGCGCTGCAGAACCCAGGCACCAGGCGGGAGCCAAGCTCGGCAGGAAGCACTGAGCTGCTCCCACGAGCTGCTGTGAGGCCAAACTACAGCACAGACAGAACAGTAGAGGCAGGGAGCACACGGATCGCTTGGCGCTGCTCAGTTGCCCAGTAACCCCAACACAAGGCAGCCAGCAGCCCAACAGCAGCATCACTACAGACACCCGACAGAGCTGTGCGCTTTACAGCAGAGGCCCGCAGACGAGCGTTAAGGCAGCATCCCCAGCACAGCTCCTCGTTCCCCTGCTCCCTCACTGCAGGGCCCACCACAGGGGAGCCCACAGAGGACCAAGTTCACCTTCCCCTTGCTCTCCCACTCCAAGCAGTGCCCTGCTTGCTCTGTTACAAGGGTAGGGATAAGGCTGAAGTCCTGAAACAAGCACCATCTGTTACGGTCCTTCAGCATTACCCCTTCCCTAGCCCTGTATGTCCTCACATGGCATTTCTTCTAAGATACTGGTGATGATCAAATCTATGAGTTATAGTAAACTGCTATCCCACACTTCACGGCTACTTTGGCCACCATGACAGCACGCATCCCAGTTTGTCCAGAACTAAACACTTCTAAAACCTGGAGCTCTTTCCTCATGAAATCTGAGTGCCAGAGGAGAACCTTGGGAGAATTAAGAGCACTGCAGGAACACCACAAGCAGCAACTTGAGAGCAGCTCCTCCGTGTGTGATCCCCCCGGCAGCATCTGCTCTGAGAACAGCTGCAGAGCTGGCACAGCAGCTCCAGGCCTGGACAGCCCATCAGCCCCACAGCTGGCAGCACCTCCACGCTGACAGCAAGACTTCTAGTCAGACGGCAGGCAGCTTTGGGCTCTGCCCCACTTCCAGCCCAGAGGGGCTCGGTGTGCCAGACACTGCTTCGTGCAACAGCAGCTCCAGGGCATCAGAAGTTTGTTCACTCCTGGGGTTTGCTGCTCGTTCCTGAAGTTCTCATCCCTGCGTTGTCCAAGAACTCTGCAGAAAGCCTCATGCATGGTCTGTGGTAGTGAATAAAATCCAAGCACCAGGCATAAACACCAGGGGCAAGATGCAGACACATACACTGGTGCCATCGAGACTGATGCCTGAACTGAAATGCCTGAACACCAGCTTTCCTCTCCATTGCTTCTTTGTACACAAGCCTGCTGGGGTTACTTCCACTTAATCCACACTCCACAGCCTTTTGTTCCTGTCACCAGGTGCAACAGCAGAGATTGGAGCCACTGATCAGGACAGGGCCAACACTGCTGCAGCTCCTGCAGACAGGGCAACACAGGCAAGATGGGCATCCCACAGAGCTCAGGACAGCCCAGATGAGAGCAGACACTGGTAGGCAGCTGAGCAAGGCACCACAGCACTCCTCCACCTGCAGCCCGACTCCAGCTAACTCTCAGCGTACCCAGACAAGCAGCTGAGCATCACATCACAGCCCGGACCAAAGCTTTTTGCTTGCAGCACCATTTCCACTGCACTGCTCAGCACTTTGCCAAGCTCTGTGCACCACTTACGCAGCCCATGCTGCCTCAGGTTCTTCACCTCCGAGGAGCAACACAAACAGCCCACCCATGAGCAACCCATGCTCACCAAGGGACGGCACGCTCCATTTCTCCTCCTGAAGCATGAATAGCAAGCAAAGCAAGTGCTGTTTCAAGGAAGGAACTCTGCTGATCTGCTGGTGGCCCCGAGGCAGGCACATCACCTCATACTGCCAGCTGCCCTGTGCTCACAGCTCTGTCCAGGCAATCCCGGCGCTGTCCCAGACCAACGCTCCCCTTCCAGCCCCGGCATCAGAGGCTTCCAGAACGACCAGGGAGCCGCAGGGGAAGCGGCCTCGATCATCTACCATGTCGCGTGAAGTATCGCCACGTTAAGTGACCGAAAGCGTCGGATCGGACCGATACTGAACTGGAACGCTGCTCCCTTACGTAACCGGTTACCGCGCGAGTTCCAGTAACTAAAATTACAGCGGAACGGCCGGCCCGCCGCTGGGTGCACACAGCGCGCCGCTCTCCTCAGCTCCGAGCGGCTCGAACCGCAGCCCAGCTCCGGTCGCGGCAAACACGCCCAAACGCGGCCCTCGTCCGGCGCCGCAGAGCGTGGCGCGCCCGGGGCGCGGCGAGGAGCCCAGCGGGCCCGCGGACGCCGTGCCCGGCCGGGCCGCCAC